CACCATCATCTGCTGTATATTCGTTTTTTATCTCTACAAACTCGAGCGATGACAACAAACACTTAGGCACGGACCAGACTCTCATTTCAACACTTTCGACCGTATAATCAGTTAAACAAGTTAAACCCTACAAAATACATGAGATGAATTAATATACTATATATAAAACCACATTTCTCTAATTGCATGATTAATTTAAAACTCAAGGGTTGGTGGAAGCTAAGTAATTATTACCAAGACGATGGATTTTAGATTTGGACAGCTTTCAAGAAGCTTTGTAAAGACGTCCAGGAATGTCACGGATGTTGAGCAAACGTTTGCTTTCAAATAGGACAAGTTGCAAAACTGTGGCAAAGAATCAACTTGCAAGTAGAAAAAGATTAACTGTTTGCAAAAAAGAAACGAAGAGAAGAGACTATGGGTTAGCAAAAGTTCTGTATAGCATTATATATATAATATGAAGTTCATAGAAATTAACCTTCATCAAACTCTCAGAGATGATCAGATCCCTAACTCTTGAAATACCGGTGAAAAAATTATGGGCCATTTGTTGCTCTGAACAGCCAACTACACTTGATATATCAAAGGAGCTAAGAACGTTGACCTTAACTAAAGAACTCAAATTTCTTACGATTTTACTTTTCGATCTTTCGTATCTGAAAGTCAAATACTTGAGTCTAGGGGCATCAATCACAAGCCCCGAGTTTTCTCTAACCCTTTCAGAATAATAATGGTACTTATGCATTAAGTCACCAGGATTATATCCTACACTAAGACTGGTTAATGATTGAGAATGCACTCGTAAAACCTTTACATTATCATCTATCCTAACGATGGTCAAATCTTCGAGGACGGGGCAAGACGAGATAAGGGACTCCACACTCGCCTCATTAGGATATATATTTCGTTCTAAACACAAAGTCTTAAGACGAGGTAAAGAAACAGACTCAAAGTTACCCATCAATACCCGATAGAGTCTTAAGTGAAGGAGCGTCTCACAGATATAGAGGCTTACGGGCATCACTTCCCAACACTCACGCTTCAGTACAAAACCACCAAACTCAACATCAAGATGTGTAAGGTTACCCCTAGCCACAAAGTCTATCCAAGGCGTGACACAAGACTGATCATTCTTATTCTTCTGAATATCTAGTTTGAGCTTGTGCAAGCATGACTTCTGTTCCCTAGAGAAATCTAGGAACCTGTCCACAAAACTCACAAAGGTATTGTAATCTGGGAACTCATAAGAGTCCAAATCCAACCCGGGAATCAAAAGCCAGACATTTTTCCACCTCTTGGACAAAACACTAGTCCTGACAATATCCTTTGTCGGAAGATACGAGAGTATCTGAGATATCAAAGCCTCGGGTAATTGGCTTATCAGATCTTCTTCTGCAGGCCGTTCGAGGCATATTCTTTTCTCGTTCCTTGCCTCCATCGAATCCTCTCGCAAAACCTAGAAATCTAACGCAAACAAATCATCATGAACCGAGAATAAACGTAAACAAATCCAGAATTGAGTGATATTATATTACCAGATGGATCTAGCAAGGGTTTCGTGCGTTGGGAGATCCGGAGAGTAGCGTGCGATGTAACGAGATAATGATCTTTGGGTCAAGATTGGCACAAATGATGGTACTACTAAACAAACAATTTGGGCACCTTTTAACTCGATTACACTTGTCAAATGACACTTACGAGCTTATCTTTCGTTGATTTTTAACAATTTTCATTTATTACTTTGAAACATAGTTTAGATCATAAAAACATAAGAGATCATATAAACATTATAAAAAGTTATCTAAAATAATCAATTATGATAAAGAACAATAGAAGAAAGCAAATTATGATCAAGTCTTTTATTTTTCTTAAAAACTTACTTGCTAACGGATTATCAAATCCGTTATTTTTTTTTTTTTTTCGTACTCGATTGTTTCCCTCGCTAATGGTTATTAGTTTCTTTAATTGGGCCAAAAGCCCAATAATTTTTTTTTAAAATAATTTTAAATAATTTTTTTCGTTCAAACTCACTAATAAGTTATTTCGATAAAAGTATATAATTCGTTGATTTTTTATAATGGTTTTCGATTAACTAAAAGAAAATGCACACTGTTCAAAAACAATAGGTCTTTTAAAACAAGAAACATCATGAATCTCAACAAATAATCTTTGTGAGTCGCTGATTTTTTATGATTAAAACAATCAAAGTTAAGTTTTGGTAATTTGCGCGCCTTGAACTTGTATATATCATTGAACCAGTTCTTGAGAACTTGTGAAGCCAATCTTGGATCAATTGAACTAAAGGATGAAGTTCTGTTCTTAGTAGTCATTTGTGTTGAAGACATGAGTTAATGTGCAGTTCTAGCCCAAATGGGTAGGGCAGAGGGACAGCAGCTCATGGGCCAATCACTATTTTGAAAAAGTTTTTTTTTTTAATTTATAAAAAGGGTTTATTTTCAGTAGAAAAAAAAAACAATGAAGCCCACAATAATATATTTGATAGAAACCAAAGCTTTTTCAAAGAAAATTATGTAAATTAGACCCCAAATAATTAAATTTTAATCTAAATGAGATCCAAATATCATTATATTTATCATTATATTTTTGTATAAATTTATTGAATAGGCTAAAAATTATTGGGCTGGGGCTGTGAATGTGTAACTTGAATAATTGTGAAGACGACGATTCTTTCTTTCTACAGCTCGTATATTATTGTTGTCTGCCTCTTAATTAAGGAGTAGAAGGTCTTTCTTGATGCGCTGAGGAGATGAGAAAGTATGATAGTTGAAGATATCAACCCTTTGGTGAAGCGTAGTAGAGTCTTCTCGTAATACAGAATCACAATCATTTTATGTCCCAACTTTTTTTTGTTTGGTGCAAATATGTCCCAAGTTTAATTTAGTCACTTATTACATATAAACAGTTTGGCCTCACTGTAGCCGAAGCTCACGATGACGATGAAAATAAATCAACAAAATCAACAAAATTTAGCGGTTCACAAATTTCGATTTGACAAGTACTAGAACGCCTTGGAATTGCAAGGAGATCCTTTAAGGCGACGGAATCTTCTTCTCCTGGCATGACATATCCGAAACGCAGAACAATTTTCTTGAGGATTACAGAGTTTTCTACAAAGTACCTTGCTAGTTCCACTGCAACAGGCTCTGCCATGAATTTTCCACTTATCTCTACAAACTCGATCGAGCGATGACAACAAACACTGAGACACAAAAGGATTAATATACTAGATAACATATTTCTTTAAATGTTTGATTAAGTTAAAGCTCTAGGGTTGGTGCAAGTCATTACCAAGACGATGGATTTTAGATTTGGACAGCTTTCAAGAAGTGTTTGCAAGGTTTCAAGGATCTTCACGTCGGATGAACAAAATTCTGCTTCCAAATAGGACAGGTTGAAAAATTGGGGTAATGGTTCTACTAGCTGCTCATATAAAAACGAAGAAGAGAAGAGTATGGCTGAGCATAATTATTTCGTTAAATAGCATTATATATAATATGAAAGTTCATTAGAAACATACCTCAAGAATATGTGCAGAGATGTTCAGATCCCTAACTTTCGAGATACCGGTGAAAAAATTACGGGCCATTTGTTGCTTTGATAAGCCAACTCCATCAGAGATACGAAAGGAGCCAACAAAATTGACCTTAACTAAGGAATTTAAATTGCTAATGGTTTTACTATCCGATAGTTCATGTTTGAAATTCAAATACTTGAGTCTAGGGGCATCTATCCAAAGCCCTAGGTCTCTTTGACCAAAAAAGAAAAGCCCTAGACCCCACTCACCAAGATCAAACTCTACACTCAGACTTGTTAATGTTTGAGAATGCACTCGTAAAACGTTTACATTATCATTGTAATCCACACTTCTAACAATGCTCAAATCTTCAAGAACTGGCAAGATGAAATGAGTGACTCCAGACCAGCATCATTGTCATATACATTGAGTTCTAAATGCATAGTCTTGAGACGAGGTAATGAAACAGACTCAAAACTATCCAAATATACCCGATGAAGTCTTAGGGTGATAAGTGTCTTACAGATATAAAGGCTTAAGGGCATCACTTCAAAACACTCACGCTTCACATAAAGACACTCAACATCAAGATGCTGAAGTTTACGTGTAGCAACAAAATCTATCCATCGCGTGATACGATACTGATCACTCCAAATCTTCTGAATACTTAGCTTGAACGTGTGTAAGCATGAATTCTGTTCCCTATAGAAATCTACGAACCTGTTCATAAAACTCACAAAGGCATTGTAATTTGGGAACTCTTCAGAGTCCAAATCCAACCCGGGAATCGAAAGCCAGAGACTTTTCCACCTCTTGGACAAAACACAAGTACTAACAGCTTTCTTTGTCGGGAGATACGAGAGTATCTGAGTGATCAAAGAGTCGGGTAATTTGCTTATGAGATCCTCTTTTGCTCTTGAGAAATCTTCACGCCGTTCGAGGCATATTCGATTGGCTTTCCTTTCCTCCATCAAATTTACTTGCAGTGAAAACCTCGAATTCTTCCGAATTTCAGTGACAGATAATCAGAATCTCGATTTTGCGCGTACAAAGACCGAGAAAATCAATAAAAATTGAAAAAGGTGTAGGGTTTTGTGTGTTGGGAAGATCCCACGAAGAGTCGCGTGCGATGCAAACATGATTCGAGAACTGAACAAAAACATTTGATCTTTTTATTTGGGCTGATGGGCCTTAACAATTTCTCTGGCTCAAAGACTACCAATTGTCCGTTATTAAGGGTCTAAATGCGGCGTCGTTTATAGTTGTTGTTTTGTTTGTTACTAATGTTAAAAAAATGGTTTTCTTTTTCGTGTATTTGAATATAGGATCTCAAAACGTTTATGTATAGTTATGGAAATAACAAACTATTTGTTGATTATTAATTGGTTTTCCCAAAATTTTATTTTTGTATTTTCTATTTGTTTATTCTGATCAATTATATTTAAAGCAAAAAGAGACAGATTACTCACATGAAAACATTATATTAACATTTTCACTTATTTCGAAATCATAAACTTCCAAGTTCCATCCAAACCAGATTCTTATTATCACAAACCGAAAATAAACAAGTCCAACCAAAACATACTTAACCAACCGAGTTACATAACCAAACAACTCAACCTCGTTTACATTAGGAAACAAGTTTGATATGAACACAAGATTCACGGTGTTACAACAACGGAAGATTTGACGGCGGCGACCGGGAAATCCAGGAGAACAATCTTGTCGATGACGGCGGTGAAAGCGGCGGAGAATTCAACGTGAAGAGGATGGCTTGTAAAGGCAACGTAACCATCTTTGTTCTCAAAGGTCATCGAAAATGCGTGAGTAAATCCTTGTCTAAGCATCTCGTGACTCTCTTTATCTTCTCCCCTAGTTATCATCAAATCGTACGGTCATTAACTATACAGATCCAAAATATTATAGAGAAGAAGAAACAAAAAACAAATGATCACAAACCATTCAAAGGATTTGACAGTATCAATCTGAGAAACAAGATTCTCCAAGCCCTTCAAGATCTCATCAACCTTAGCATCTTCCTTAAACTTCACAACCACCAAATGCTTAAACCCTGAAGTTGCCATTAATTCTATTACTTTAGCCTCACACACTTACATGTACTGATGTACACTTAATTATGTTTGAAGCATTTCTTATATAGAGGTGGAGATTCCTATGTGTGTGCACGTGTGAACATGTACGTGTGAATGCACACGTGTGTATCAGTGTATGTCTGTACACATGTGTGTGAACAATAATGCTGTTTGCTGTGCTTGATTTCAATGTACAATTTTCTGTCTGCTTCTGACATTACCCTATATGACTATTTGTCTCTGAATTTAAACAATTTTTTTTGTTTGGTTTTCATTTGTTTTTCAACTAGTCTTTCACAACTTGCATGTTTTGTCAGGTTATAATTTGTATTTCGAATTTATTGTCCGAATTTTTAGGTTTCGAATAGTTTTTGACGTTAAGTGGGTTTGCATGTCTGTGTTCTCATTCACCGAAAAAGATAACTTGTGTAGCTAGCTGTGATGTAGGCCTGCGGTTTTGACCCGACCCGATTTTTTTCAGGTTTCGGTACAAATCGGTTTGGCAATCGGTTTAACTCGGAGAGATGGAAATTTACGTTTGGAAATCCGATCCGATTAACCGATCGGGTATCCGATATTTTTATGTAAAAAAATTATACCAAAATATAACAGAATTAAACCGAATTTAACCGACTAATCCGGTTTTAACCAATTTTAACCAAGAAAACCCAAAAAATTGGTTTAATTCGGCAGAATTCAAATAACCAAAATAAATAGAATCCGACCCGAACCGATTATTTGTTCGGTTTATTTCAGATGAAATTTTAATAACCGAACTAACCCGAAACCCGAATAAACCGACCCGACCCGATCCAAAAAGCCGAACTCGCAGGCCTACTGTGATGCATACCAGCTAGCTAGGGCGTACCACACAAATTCGATTATGATTTGTGAAAAAAAAATTATTGAAAATTTGAAATATGTGTAAATATATGACTAATCTAGAAAAAACAAACTAATTCTAAAAACTTTGTTTCAGTTGTTTTAGTTGATAACATTAATTGTAATGGAATATATATAACTTCATCAGCCATTTTTTGATTTACTATTTTACATTTTGACTGTCCTGTTGTAACCACATTGACCATACCAACATATCTTTTTCCGAGTTCTCTTTGATATTCAAAAACTTTGTATATCTTATTTTCCCTACCGAATAATCTTAACGTAAGCTCTTACCATTAGTGAGAAAACTATTACTGTTAATCTCTCTCATCGATGGTGACAAAAAAATTAGCACGTGATAGGTTGGTTCCATCGTTTTCTATCGCCATGTATTGTTATTTTTAATTTATTTGGAAACATATTAAAGATTATGGCGACATAAATATTGCTCACGGTGATGTTATTGTTTATTTTCTTGTAGTATGTATGTGATGAAGAGAAACGATTCCTTCAGGTACTCTCAAGTCTCATTTGAGATGCCCTACATTGTGTACCCACAAGAACTGAAAATAACCTCACATTTGTTTTGTTTGTTAATTTTCTCCATATTCATGCATGTATTTGATCAAATCGATATGATTAATTCTATCAATCTATGACTGGTAGGCGGATTTTGTCTTATAAAATTAATTAGCCTATAAGAATAATAAGTTAGTTATATCAAAATCAAATGATGGTAGATTTTGGATTAATTAACATTTTCCTCGATTAAAAAAACTTGAATAAATTCCATGCAATATTGATCCAAATGAAACTATATGACTTGATAATCCTATTTTAAGGTTCTTACAATTCAAATCAATTTGACCGAACCAATTAAGTTGAACCTATATATGAACTAAACTGAAATCATACCAAAGTGGAATCAGTTAACATGGTAATTTCTTTCATTTCAAGTTAGATTTGAATATGCTAATCACTCAACAATAACAAAAGGTATAAAGATGTTTATCTTTTTTTGGGAACAAGATCTGAGAGGAAAAAAAAAATCCAATGGAAAGAGAAACATGGTGCATGGATTTGTGTCAGCTCAACATCTTTTGTGAACCCCTTTTACAATAAAGTTTGATGCAGCCATACTATTTCTTTTCTATGATCCTTCTTGCGCTCCTTCATTCTTCTCCAGTCACATGAAACTTGGACCCATCAATTTTATTTTCTTCATTATTTCCCTCTTAAAGATATGATTAAAGTAGCATGTGGCAATGCTCTTAAATCAATTCCCACTGAAAATGACATTATATCGACCCATTGCCTAACATTATTGGTACTATTTTTTTGAGAAACAAAATATGGACCGAATCCGATGAGGAGATTTATGGTATGTCAAGGTAGAACAATTTTACCGTTATGTTTTTTTTAATGTCATTTGGGTCGACAATACCTGACCCATAACACAATTCCTACTACGCGACGTGGAGTAACATGATTTACTGGAGTCGAACTTTTAGTAAAAAAACATTGTGAAGAATGTGAACCTTTAACTACTTGACGAAAGACACTCCCCACAATTTTATTCTTCTTAATAAACATTTTTTATCCTTCAAATTTGTCAGATTTTATTCCAGTCTCTTAGCTTTACTTTGATATCTTCACACGTGTACGTTTTGCCTCATGAGAAGTGCTTAGGTGAGCGTTGTGAAATGTCACTCATGCTGTAGGGGAAAATGCATTGTGCTCCGTATAAATGGTCCAACCGGAGCTAATGCCGAGCATGATTTCGTAGAGCAGAGAAGCAGAGGAGCGAGATTGATTGAAAAGGTCTGAAATGAGAAAAGCTTATATAGAGTGCAAACGAGCTAGGCCGGGTAACATGCGAACTGGTTCAAATTGCTGTGAAGTACTTACCGATCAACCGTGGGAATGGCCTATCTACACTTGGCTCCTAAAACCTAAGTAGTAAAACATTTTTCTATTGAAGAAAAAATGGGCTGGAAAGTATAGGGACACATGGAAATAAGCAAAAGCCCAACAAAAAATAGAAAGCCTATTAGTCATTTGTTTTTTATAACTCCTAAAGGTAATTGTTAATCTATAACAAAAAAAAGTATCTCAAATTCATATGGCTTTTTATTAGTCCATTGAAATTGCTGATAAGTCCAACTTTTTTCTCTTCCGCTGAGTATTTTGACTTTTCAATCGTTCACTAGTGTTTGCGCTACTAACTTAAAAATTTAAATTCCCTAATAAGATTCTATTTAAATGGACTAAGTAAAAGTAGCTTTGGTTTGACAATATCTAAATTTTGTATAACTGGATATATTACATGTTGAAGAAGAAATCCACAATTAGATGGTTGAAAAAAGAAGGCAGCTGGATCATGTGCTTCTTCTACAAGTCTAATGAAAGGTGGTTCAAGGAAACCGTAGTCCTCACTATCAATAAGACAATAACGACTCTGACGATAACAAAGTTTAATCATTTCAAAAGGCCTTTTATCTACTTAAAAGGGTGCTACAATTTTCAACCATCTTGGTCTAATAAAATCTATGACTATACAAGTACAACCATAAAGAGAGAATTTGTATATGTTGTCTAAAAGTTGTAGCTAGTTTTTGTTTATCCAAGGATGTAGCTTGTCTGTTTCGTATAGATAAATGTGGTTAAGAAATTTAACTTGGGTAGGTTACTATTACTCTATTAGTTAAGTAGGAAAAATGTAAGATCGCGAGCAAGCACGATGGATCTTTTTTTTTCCTTATTAGGAAAAATCAGGACGTCAAAACTATTTATTTATTAAAGCTGGAAGCACGATCGAATCCACAGATAAATATCTTGAATTTAAAAGTCCAAAAGAAGTTAATATAAAGATAAGTTCTTAAGTTCTGTATAGGATTATTGAAAATGGGGAAATTTGGTTGAAGTCGTCGTCAGATTAAAGAAGTCATGGAAGCTACGTTCCAACTACTTGGTTTAATTAGCTAATAAATAAAATTATTAAAAATGTATCACCATTATTGTCGTGTAAGTCATGTTCACATTCACATTCACATTTCCTTTTGCAACATAAAATAATATGACTTGACCCATAGCTTTGCTTGACTTATACATATGTGACCCCTTTCTCAATATAGTACTACTAATACCTAAACAATATTTAACAAATTGCTAATAACAAGGACAAAATACACGTGGGCAACGTTTCACAGATCAGATCAAAGTCACATGCGAAAGTTCATAAATATATTTCTTTTATGGAGATATCTAGGCCTGGCGTTCGGGTACCCGTTCGGTTCTGGTCCGGTTCCTATTCGGTTCTAGAATTTAGGATCCATATAGGAACCAAACAATTTCGGTTCGGTTCCGGTTCGGGTTCGGTTCCGGTTCCGGTTCTTTCGGTTCTGAAGTTTAGGATCCATTTGGATTTTTTTTTCCAGATATTTTTAGGTATTTTGGATATTTTTGGGTATTTTTGGATATTTTTGAGTATTTTTTGGATATTTTAAGCATTTTTTGATATATTTTCTAAATATCCTATACTAATATTTGGGAAGTACATCCTAAGGATCATAACTTAAATTTTGTAAGAAATTACAATATATGCCATTATATAATTCTAATCATAAAATTTATTCCATGTCACTAATATATATTAACGGGTCAATGGGTCAACGGGTTTAAAGATATTAAAAGATTTTGTTTATATAATACATAATTAATATAATTCGAGAATGTTATATACTAATCAATATTCGAGATTATATAATACATAAAAATGTTATATAATACATAAAAGATTTTGTTTATATAATATATAAAAATGTTATATACTAATATACTAATATATTATTCGAAAATGTTATTGAAAATTGAAAATGTTATTCAAAATGTTATATAGTAATCCATTATTCGAACATCTTATAAAAAATGTCATTGAAAATGATATATTATTGAAAACATTTTATATCAATCCAATTTATAAAAAATAAAAAATGCTATTTTGAATTATAATACTCATATAGTTCGAAAATGTTATATAAATTGAAAATGTTATATAATTCTCCATTTTTTATCATCTTTGACAATATTTGTTATCTAAACTGTCTTATATATAGCACGGGATTTAATATTTTTCATGAATTAAAT